TGTGTGTGTGTGTGTGTGTGTGTGTGTGTGTGTGTGTGTGTGTGCCTATAGCTGCGCGAGTGAACCGCGCAAACACAATAACGTGCGTTGAATCAGGCATGGATACCATGTGCATGCCATCCAAACCGTGGCACCAAATAGCGAGTTGCAATGCGCTGGGCTTTCCGACATCGCCCGTATCTCTTATGAGTAAAATTCTATTTACGTTTGGTTTGCGCCATGGTGCAACATTACCATTCACCTTTTGAAATATATGTGAACATTTGGAATTCTTTAAACCAACGTCAAACACTCCCACCCGTTATGGCCTCATGTGACCAGAACGACGCCCTTCTCAACGTCTCACGAAAACGCGAAGCATGGATATCCCGGCACGGTATAAACTCTCATGACGAGTCTGGGCTCCGAACGTCCATCGGTCGACATCCGAGGAATCACTTCGTGCGCTGTAAATGTTCATGCGTCAAATCCAAGGCGTTGTAGCTATTTAAAGGGAATGCTTTCAACCAGGCACGAGACTCGAATGCTAAGGGAAATCAACGACACCACGTGCTTACGTGAGTGAGCTGCATCACCAGCTGGGCGTTGAAGCGCAGCCAGCCGTCCGTCGAAAGGTCGGGCGTACGACACCCGTCCGCGGAATGCCCATTAACAAGAGTGCCTATCTTGGTCGCTGGTAATTCATTTGCATGGGACGGAGAACGGAAAGAGGACTCCCTCCGGAGCTTTAAAGGCAGGAAGCGAGAAGCTCGGCAGACTCCGGAGACGCGGGGCCCGACACGGCGACGAGGCCAGCGCTGAGTGGCTGAGTCCCAAGCGGCTCGTTAGGACCTGCCGGCCAGAGCAGGACAGTGTGTCGGAGTAGGATGGCCGGCCGGCCGACGGTTTTGGCGTAGCCTGGTGGCACAGGCGCCGTCGGACAGACCAGCGCCGTGTGGTGGCCGAGGCGCCGCCGGACAGACCAGCGCTGTGTGGTGGCCGGCCCATGTTGCTATTGGCCCGGCTCCAATGGCAGCTGGGTGGGACTTCTTGCGGTTCTGTGCGCGATTCATGGACTCAGGGTGGCACCAGTCATGTTGTCTATTTCACCTTGTCTGATGAAAGGTGTGCATTCCACCGTGCTTCCCGTCGTTTGGAGAAATCATCAAAATTCACGGCTCCAAACTTCAAGTGGAAAATTGACATTAGACGTCAAGCTAGGTTGGACGACAAAGTCTGGGATATATGCAATACCCGGCAATTTAACGATATTTTGGGCGTTAGTGAGCCGGAACGCAATTGCAATACATTCAGTAATTTGTTCGTTG